TGTCCCTGACACTGTCCCCATGTCCCTGACCGTGTCCCCATGTCCCTTGTCCCCAGTACTACTACTCGGTGCGGCTGTTTGCGGGGCAGGAGCCGGGCAGTGCCTGGGTGGGCTGGGTCACCTGTCCCTGTCCCCATGTCCCCTGTCCCTGTGGCTGTCCCCATGTCCCTGACCGTGTCCCTTGTCCCCAGTACTACTACTCGGTGCGGCTGTTTGCGGGGCAGGAGCCGGGCAGTGCCTGGGTGGGCTGGGTCACCTGTCCCTGTCCCCATGTCCCCTGTCCCTGTGGCTGTCCCCATGTCCCTGACCGTGTCCCTTGTCCCCAGTACTACTACTCGGTGCGGCTGTTTGCGGGGCAGGAGCCGGGCAGTGCCTGGGTGGGCTGGGTCACCTGTCCCTGTCCCCATGTTCCCTGTCCCTGTGTCCCCGTGTCCCCGTGTCCCCTGTCCCTGTGGCTGTCCCTGATGCTGTCCCTGTGTCCCTGACGCTGTCCCTGTGTCCCTGACGCTGTCCCTTGTCCCCAGTACTACTACTCGGTGCGGCTGTTTGCGGGGCAGGAGCCGGGCAGTGCCTGGGTGGGCTGGGTCACCCCCCACTTCCACCAGCACGACCCCGACTTCGAGCTGAGCCGCGTGCGCAGCGTCACCGTCACCATGGGCGACGACCGCGGCAACGTGCACGACAGGTACCCCTCAGGGGGCACCCCAAAGGGACCCCAAAGAGACCCCAAAGAGACCTCAGAAGGGATCCCAAAGGGACCCCAAAAGGGACCCTAAAGAGACCCCAAAAGGGACCCCAAAGAGACCTCAAAAGGGACCCCTAAATGGGATCCCTAAATGGGACCCCTAATGGAATTCCAAAGGGACCCACTGCAAAGGGAACCCTGCACAGGACCCCAGAGGTACCCCAAAGGGACCCCAAAGAGACCCCAAAAGGGATCCCAAAGGGACCCCAAAAGGGACCCCAGAGAGACTCCAAAAGGGACCCCTAAATGGGATCCCTAAATAGGACCCCTAATGGGACCCCAAAAGGGACCCCAAACAGGACCCTAACAGGACCCCAAATGGGACCCTAAATTGGACGCCCAAATGGGACCCCAAAGAGATCCCAAAATGTTTTGGGGGTCTCACCCCCTTTTTCCCCCCCAGCATCAAGTGCAGCAACTGCCCCATGGTCTGGGGGGTATTTTGGGGGGCTTTGGGGTCTCACCCCCTTTTTCCCCCCCAACATCAAGCGCAGCAACTGCCCCATGGTCTGGGGGGTATTTTGGGGGGGTTTGGGGGTCTCACCCCCTTTTTTGCCCCCAGCATCAAGCGCAGCAACTGCTACATGGTGTGGGGGGGGGAGTTTGCGACCCCCACGCAGCAGGCCCGGGTGTCCCACACTGACCTGGTCATCGGCTGCCTGGTGGACCTGGCCACGGGGCTCATGACCTTCACAGCCAACGGCAAAGAGATCAACACCTTCTTCCAGGTGAGCTGGGACCCCTCCCCTGACCCCGCCCAGCCGGGGTCTGGGGGTCCCAGCCCACCCCGGGGGTCTCACGGCAGCGCTGTCCCCGCAGGTGGAGCCCAACACCAAACTGTTCCCGGCGGTGTTCGTGCAGCCCACCACCCAAAACGTGCTCCAGTTCGAGCTGGGCAAGCTCAAGGTGAGGACTGGGACCCCCACCAGGTGGGTGGTGGGGTATGAGACCCCCCAAAATCCCCAGGTCAGCATGAACACAACCACCACAGTATGAGACCCCTGAGACTCCCCCCAAAGCCCTGAGGTCATCATGAACACCAGCACATACAGAACCCCTGAGAGCCCCCCCCAAAACCCAAATCCCCAGGCTATGATGACCACCACATACAGAACCCCTGAGAGCCCCCAAAACCCCCTGAGACCACCCCTGCACCCCAAAACCACCCAAATCCCCAGGTCATCATGAACACCAGCACATACAGAACCCCTGAGAGCCCCCCCCAAAACCCAAATCCCCAGGCTATGATGACCACCACATACAGAACCCCTGAGAGCCCCCAAAACACTCCAAGACCCCCCAAATTCCCAGATCATCATGAACACCACCACATACAGAACCCCTGAGACCCCCCAAAACCCAAATCTCCCCAAACCCCGAGGTCGTCACGGGGTGTGGGCAGGGACTGGGCGACAACTGGGAGCACTGGTGAGGTGATGAGGGCGCTGTGAGGCACAAGGAGGGCTCGGGGCAGACCTTCGGGGTCTGCAGGGCGCCCCACGAGGAGCTCGGTGCCGGGGGTCCCCCTGACGCCCCCGTGTCCCCCCCAGAACATCATGCCCATCTCGGCGGCCATGTTCAGCAGCGAGCGGCAGAACCCGGCGCCGCAGTGCCCGCCGCGGCTGGTGATCCAGCAGCTGACCCCGGTCACCTGGAGCCGCATGCCCACCGAGTACCTGGCCGTGGAGAGCGCCCGGCTGGGCGAGCGCCAGGGCTGGGCTGTGGAGTGCTCCGAGCCCCTGCAGATGATGGCCCTGCACATCCCCGAGGAGGACAGGTGGGGACACCCGGGGACACCCTCAGGGAGACCCCCAGGGA